AGTGTCCCTCCTTATGCCTAAAGTTACTACTGGCCAGAAACAAGTTATTGTCGGGACAAAATTGCAACACGATCATCGTTGTCGGTTCGTTGGTATAGCATTTTGCAAGTACCCGTAAGATGACTTTCCGACTGGCTCAGCTCCCCTACTTAGGAGTTGAAGTCACCTGCTATCATGACTACGTCCTGACGTTTTGCCTTCTGTAACAAAATTGACAGCTCCTCCTGGGATTCATACGTTGCATCATCCGAACTGCATTTGGTGGGTGCTTATAGGGAGATAACAGATGGGCATCACCTAGTCTCACGATACTTCCTAGTCCTTACAGATTCATTAAATCGAACAGCACACAGATGACTGTTTACCAGGATCCAGTGTAGAAGCGCACTTTCTGCTCTTCAGCCCAATGCTATGCCTACACCAGCGAGTCACGAGCGCTAGCCATTGGATTCGGTTGAGACAGGGTTCAAGGTGGCCAGACTAAGACCTGGCACCTGTCGATGAAGTCTCTTACTGTTGGCCTTAGTCGTGTGGAAGATGTAATGTGCCTGGCTAAGATCTTCTCGACGGTTGAAATCAGTTGTTGTTAGTTCTTGGTGATATAGGTGAAAATCGGTTGCAATGTCACAGATGTATTCATTCTGTGACATCTTCTAAAGCTGGGATATTTGCCTTAACCTTTATCTTCAGATCGTTCAGTCTCCCACACTCATTTATCACGTTTCATGCCACAGTTTTTGTATCCGTCTGTTCTTTGTATACCACTGTGAACTGTAGCGACTTGAGCCGATGCACCTTTGTGTGAGATTCTTTATTGATTTTGTCAGACAGACAGTGGAATGCATTATGTGCGTTTCGTCATGTTTGGGGACTCGTCAGATAGACGTACCTACACCTCAGTGAAAGATGTTACAGATCCACGCAGTAACCAGCCAGGCAGTATCGAGGTATCTGCATATGACCACAGGTTAAGAAAGGTGAATGTGAACGGGATATATATATATATCTTCAGATGTTCCTTCTTTATTTCCCAGTGTAACACTTTTCGAAACAGTAGGATTCATTTTTCACCAGATATCAGAAACAATAATGTTGGGCTTCCAGAAGGAAGTCTCAAACATCTTATTCTACAGTGCACTATGAATGTGCATTTTCTTTTCAATAACCTACATTACAGACGAATTGATGGAATTGTTCAGGGTTCACCATTAGAGGCAATATTAGCAGGAATCTTTATTCAGGACACGCAATCCTAGTATGAAGTCACGGCTTTTTCTGTCGTAAAACAACAGAAAGAAGTTCTATCGATTCAATCGTCCTTGATAAGTCCGGCCGCCTACCCTTCGGAGGCAACTGAGTGCGTCTACATCCAATTTTAGGCATGAACTGGGCATCTGAATGCAGTGCTACAAGTGGTGTCTAACGTATGGTATAATAGACTATATTCAACACGTTCCGATCAGGTCATAGCCTATGATGACACCCGGGTCTTTTACTTCGAAGACCGGGGCACTGGTTTGCTATTAGCTGAATACTGGGAACGGTTGGTATGACCACTGCATTATTGTACTTTTACTAGAGTTAATTTCCAGGCACAAACGTCCGAACCAACCTGGCAACTCATCTACTTAAACAACATACATTAGCATCACTGCGTATAACTCTACAAACTTGCATCATTGTCGAATAGCAGTGCCTAAGAGTTGAGCATTTGCGGCGGTTCGTGGACGTATGAAAGGAAAGTGAGGAGACCTTGGATTGTTCTTTGAGGAAATTCACTCATCAGAGGTTTCCGTTTGAACAGTGTCGCATTAATCTTCAGTCTGTTTTTTTATCATACAGAAAGTCCCTTATCCAGGCTTTTAATCCAACGCCAAAGGAGAGGAGAGCTTTCCTAGTAATTTTGCATGAGACACTTTACTGAAAGCCTTAATTAATTCCATGGACATGGTGTTTGTTAGCATTTCGTAATCACACGCTGCAAATCGCCCCTCTCTCGTGATGAAAAGGTTTGTCAAGCAGTGGTGTCTAGTCCGAAAACCGTGTTGCTGTGGTCCAGAAGACTTTGATTCAGCACGGTTGAGTACCTTATCAGGAATTATTTTTCCCAAACTGTGATAACTACGTTAGATAGACCGACGGGGTGATAGTTAGCTACATATCTCACGACTACCGGCCTTCAAAGCTTCCGGTTTCAGCTTCTTTCCAGTTCCTAGGGTGGGGAGTCTGAGATAAAGACATTGAAAGTATTAATAACTTGGTCAACGACAAAGCTTGCTAGCAAAGATGGCAATCTGTAGTGCAAACAATCAGGTCCCGGAGATTTTCCGTGTTTAAGATTTATGAGCTACTGATAGACTGTTTCCTCTGTTATCTACGCTGTGCTTGTTGACGGGGAGTGGTGAATACTGTTGAGCAACTCATCACCACGACTAGCAGAAAAAGCTTCACTAAGGCATTCAGCTTTGGGCAGAGTAGATTACGCCAAATCTCCAGAACTTTCATTTGTTGTTAGAAAAGAAATTTCAAATTCTCTTCTGATTAACGAAGGCAGATTTAGCAATCGTTTACAAAGTGCTTCTCGTAAGACATTCGAGATTTCAGACTTAACAGTACTTGGCCTTAAATGTTTCCAATCCAGCTTATAGAAGCAAGTCTTACAGACGTTCCCGCTGCCTCAATCGTTTTAAGTGGCTTTACAGAACCGTGAGGGGCTATGGGAGGGTCTTTTCGTGGAAGACCATGAAATGAATGGCATCGTTGCTTCTTCGAGTACAGTTCTAGGCCCATACCAGGCATTCTAGATTGATGAGTCCTTGTCAATAGTCTAATTTGTAACGACTACGCACTCCGCTATACGTTTAGTTTCTGCCCGCCACCCATTAGGTCTTGTAGAAACGATTCCGTGATCGAAGTTATGAGTTCGAAAACCGAAATCTAGCACTGCATAAATGCTGTTTGTTAACGAGAGGAAGTATTTTAGATCCATAATAACTTCATATTAATGGGTTACAACCAAATGTAACACTATGGCATGTGTTCTAAGTTGTAACGTGTTGAACAAGTTACGTTTCAAACTGCTGCAGATTCCAGTGCCGTTCAAATTGGATCATTTTCGAAAGAACTGCCTGAAGCTAAGAGTGTAAGCTCATCCAGTTTATGTATGGAGCGTTCAGATCCCCAACTGTTAGGCATCTGTTGCTTCCGCTCCAGTTACGTATATAAGTTAGCACGAAGTCATTTGCAAGGCAAGATGAGTTGGAATTAATTATTCCAGTAGTAAGAACATCTTGATTTGACTTCATCTCACAGCTGAACACATCATAGGTACCGCGTTCATGAGCTTCCGAAGTAACTGATTCTATGCGGTCACCAGGATCATAGAGTAATAAGCCGCCACCCTTGTAGCCTAGTCTTGTCTGTCCTAACACACTAATACCCCACTAGAAGTGGAATAAAATCTAAATCATTTACCAACCAGGTTTCAGTAACGGCTACCACCCACATCAAGACCTGATTCATAGGCTGAAGCCTTAAGCTGTCATTTTATTCCTGATGCTGGCGACATAGGTGTGGAAGGCGTTCAGAGTGTTTGAGGAATTCTATGATCCACCCATACGGACCTTGGAAGCATTCGTCTCCAGGATCTCACAGCCCGAAACCCACTATTTTAAGATTATCTCCATTCATTTGTTGATCCATTAATAGGCAAACACGTTAACATTCTTCTCCTAATATAACCTTTTTATATCTGACTAAGTAGACTGTTTGTCTGAGTCCTTTTTACCATATAACATTTTCTAATTTATCTTTTGTTGTCAGTACTTACAAGTAGGTAAGGTACTGACCAGTTGGGTACCGGCGCACATTAATTTATGTAACGCTGGTCAAATGTTAGGCAATAGCAACACAACAAGACCCACTTCACAGCCTGCAGTAAAAATTGTATAACCAGGGAGAAGCTGGCTTACTCCAACGTCTATGCACGGCTGGTGTCAATCCGGTGCAAACTTTGTGGAGCAAAAGTCCACATGCATCACAGCACATACACCTTCATCAACCGAGAGTTGGCAGTTAGGTCGACCGCAAACACCAGCCATGTTTAATGCAATATAATGAAAGTCTAGAGAGAGTTCAGTTCAGCTCAATGATTGACCTTAGTATACCAAATTAACGAGATTCACACAGCAATAACAAATGCGAAAAAGCTTCTGATAGTAGTTATGCTCAAAATTCGTGGAGAAACCGTACATGGACTGAAGGTCTCCAGTTGAGACAAACTCAAACAAAAGATTGCCAACAATATGTATTTAAAAAACAACACTTACGAAACTAAAGCCGGAAGGTTTGAAAATGATGAACACTCAAATATCAACTTGTTTGCTTTAAGTTAAGGTTTATCAGAAAATGATTCACTTGGCTTACACAACAAAAGCTAAATATATGAGAATCGCGAGTAAAGTCGCTTTTGATTTCCAAAGCTCGCGCGGTTTGTAATAAATGAAATATATGTCTAACATTACATCAGCATATTGAGCGCTCCCCAGTCCGAATCACTGACCACCCTTGGTCATGTCTTCGGCATAAGCCTCTTTCTCTTCAATTCATGATGTCGGTTTAGTAATATATAATAAGAAATGCAGAACATTCCTCACATCATGGATAATTTCGAGTGAGTTGTAGCTGCACAAGTGACATTTCGTTTCATTTGTGCAGCCATCAACGCTCTTCCTATAGAAGTTGACGCAAATGTCCACGGAGCCGAGTGTTTGTGCGTACACTTACGTCATATAGTCTTTGACAAAATGTTGAGGATGTGGTACATTCTGTAGGTAAGAACTGTCTTAGTAGGGGCATAAGGTTTCAAACTCCGCACGTAAGTTGAAGAACATATTTAGAAACACATTCGCTTAATTGATTTGCATTCTCATAGTATGCACGTCAGTTGACGGTCCTGCGTAACTCCTTTTATTTGTCAATTTAGCTCCTGAACAGCGAAGATGACTGTATTCAATGGTCTTGGTTCATTCTTCTTAAAAAGCTGCTTTAATTTCGAAGTGACATTTCTGAAAAGCACAACTGTTGTCATAAATGGCGATGATTTCACCCATTTCATCCTAAAGAACATTATTGGCTCTGAGGATGACAAGCATAACGAACCCCTTTTATTCTCAGTGACCGCTTCTAAGTTGATGAGCCAGTTAGAAATGTGCGAAATTAACCCAATATTTATCTTCGACAGCCACACTGAACCAGAAGTGAGTTAATGTGATTGACCTTTTTTAGATACATCATTTTAAGAGGTGAAGTTTTCATTGTTAATATGAAGAACAACGTTTGTATCAGCTCTCCACAGCTTGACTCTAAGAACCTAGACATGTAATGTTCCCAGGTGAAATCAGATGAACTCAACCACATCGTAAAAACTTTCTTCAATACTGTCTACTATGTCTAGCTTTCCGTTCTTCATAGTACATCTTAGTATCGAGCACTACTGAATAATCGGTGATGTGATAGTATTTAAACAACCCGCTCTTCAAGTTATTCTCAGGATCAGATTACTTGTACAGTACAGTGTCGTGTTACCAAGGCGTTGCAAACCCCTATCTTAAGTCGACTCTTTCGTTCAGTAATGCCCCATTTCCAGATAGTTCGAGATTTCAACCGGAGATATTGATGGAAATTCGTTAGTGATTGTTTTTGAGACTATTTGTGCTATTCTAGGCGATGGTACACACTAGTGCGAACACTCGAGCCGGTAACCGTATTGTGCAACTAAAAGCGTTTAGCAGTTAACTGCCATCTAAGCGAATGTATATTAGAGACCAATGCAAACGTATGCGGATTGCCTAGTTTTCCTGACTGGTTTACCTCAAAAGACGTATCAGTGCACTTCATTATCAGTATACGGGCCGTATTTCATTGGTCTCTGCATAACTTCTAAACGGTGGGCCACGGGTTCAAGCCCCACTCCACCAACTGAGATTTGAGTAGCCAGGCAGTATCATTAGCTTTCTCACTGTGTGAGTCATTATCTACTACATGAGCGTGCAGGTGGTTACCGAATGAATCTCGGTTTGATCACCAGTATCTCCTGGGTGGAGACGCATGCTGATGACATTCTCAGCAGTCACCGCTGCTGCTGAATGTTTCGCTATAATTCAAGTTTCTACAGTTATTCTTATTGGAGTCCGCCGATTTTCTTACGTGTCTGGTTGAAGATCTGACACACTTTATTTGACTTTGACCGTTATAGATACTGTCACAAATGAATCCGCTCAGCATCTTCATGCAGTATGTGGTTTCAGGTCGATTTTCAGTACTATCTTGTAATATTTTATTGTACTGTCAGTGACTAGGCTTAGTCAGTTATCCAGCATTTGTAGGCCTCTAAGTTTTCCACTTGTAGAGATTAATAATTCCAACCACTGAAGATAGTCAGTGGGTCAGCATTTAGTTGTTGGTCGGTTGTTCGACGCCTGATACTTCCCAGTTCACCATTTGTAAATCTTTTTCTTCTTGCTTTGATGCTGCGTAAAGGGTTGTCTCTCATCTGAGGGATACAGCAACAGCAGCAGGTTTAAATCAGTTCTTCAGTCATATTAGATGGCCAGCCCGACATCGATAGCAGGGCGTATTGTGTAGTTGTGCAGAGTCACAAATTCAACTTGTATTACATTCTCTTCGTTCTGGGTACTCTTGAGATGTCTGTTCTTTTAGTTACAAGTGTTTCATGACAATATGTCCTTAACCACATTGTCATTCCAAGCAACTGTGTAATATTTCTTCTATACAATGTGGTATCCAACTATGATTCTCTAGTTGGTCTTTGACGTTATTAACTTCGAAATGCTGTTGAATGTGTACTATAAGTGACCCTAAGTAAATGTGCAAGTAATGACTAATTTATTCTGTGCACTTTATAGTGGGTGATTTCCCGTCACTTTTCGTTCTTTACAGTATCGATGGTACAGTGGTGGTCAGACATGGTATTCAATCAAACGCTACAAATCGTCATTTATGGATGTACTGTCTGATTTTGGTATGCAGTACTCGACATCTTTTATTCAGCTGAATATGATGCAGCTGTGTTATCCATATATTTGAATTGTCCACTCATAGCATCCAGTTATGATTTCTATTACATGTTTCCTGCTGAAGCTCCAAAGACGGAGACTAGTATCCTGCAAGAACTGGCTTACATTCCTGTAGATCTGCTTGATGTGTTTAGCTATCAAAATGAGTGTCTTATCTTGTCTCACATTTTCCATCAGAAGTCTTCTAACCTTCCATCCGTTAAGCCTCATTTGAGACCTTTATTAAGTTTATTATATTCAGGAAGTGCTGAAGTACGAGCAAATTTTTGTAAACAATTATACTGTGATGAAATAAATCGTTTGAATATTGTGAACCCTGTCTTCTGTGAATGGTATGTTCTAGTTTGCTGGCTCGTGTTTTTGCCTAATATGTATTCTGCCACACCATATGAACGTGTTATTGTAGCACGCAGCATAGAAGAACGGCCAGCCATCATTGACTACTTACTGCATTGTATTACAGCTTTCATGGATGATATTGAAGGATATGGCCGCATGATAGCATCTTTCTTCAGCTTGCCGAAGTCAAATTCTCAAATAGCTGCGGGTATACTTGTTGAAATTGATGAAAATGCAACCAATGCACCGAGCAAATTAGGACAAATAGACAGATTGGACAAAGAATTCATTACCAAACTACCGATTACGTTTGATTTTGCTGTCAATTGGCAGGTCAGTGTGATAGAACTGTATAGAAATGTCAAGTCATTTAGACCTATTATTGATATTCTGTACCAACTGAATGATTCAATGAAAAATACATTTCCATCAGATCATATTTATGCTATCTGTTTGAAGTCAATCATATATCGTATTCTTCATGGACTGGAATGTTGTGCAGGGATCAAAGTGAAACCAGATGTGCCTGAGGACTCCTGGCGTGACAACAGTATGCCGAATAAAATCTCGCTTAATATTAATCCACTATTTATTGGTTCGTATGAAAACACTTTAGTGGATAAAATGATGTGTGATCAATTAAATGTCAACTTGACTCCATGTACACTCACTCCTGATTGGGTTTTCGGTTTAGCCATCACACTGGCTCTGTGGCATCAACAACATATCATTGGTGACCCAGCCTACGTAGATGATTTCGAAAGCTCTTCAATTGGTTTAGCTGTTGCAGCTTGTGCTGTAGCCAACGTTTTTAATGTCGATTTTATGAATAACAATCTACTAGAACATTATGAACGGTTGATTAATTTCATCAGAAAGGAAGTATCTGACATCACTAGACGCGCTATTTTGGGAATCAGTCAAATAACTCTGCCTTGTCTAATGCAACGAAAACAGAAAATAACTCGTCCAATCTAATTTCTGTAGAACGCCTCTATATTGAATTGCAAACTATTGGTTCACTGTTAAACCGTTTGATGGAAAAATATGAAGATAAGTCAAAACTATTCCATTTCCTGCCTAGTGGGATATTATTCCGTCTGGCCGTTTGATCGATTGTCTTTCATGTTATTTGGATAGTCAATTACCATCGGTTCGACTACTTCATGTATCAAGTTACTGGTTACCTCGTTTGTTTTCCTCTAGAACGTCAAGCACTGTGCTGACTAACTTGACTGACACCTTCAAATGTTTAGTCAATATTGTAACATTAGTCTGTCAGTCATCTATGTTACAACTGAAGCCCAGTTATGTGATGGAAAAATGTGATTTAGACACCAGCGTAAGTAATGCTCTAGGCGCTACTCCTTTTCGTGGTGGAAGTCATACTGAAGTTACTTGCCAAGAAAATAAACAGATTCCTGTGAAGTCCAATATGGAAAGCCATAATATGCATTTGTGCAGACATCTGACCACCCAGTCAAGTAACAGACTTCCTTTTCGTGATCTGACCGGACAACAAAATATTACTTAGCTGATTACTTTTCCATATTTATGGTTCCTTATTGGGGCTGCTGCTGATAATTCCCTCTTGGTTTGCTTAGTCGCTACTTTTTTCCACATATTCCACTTCGGAATGATTGATTTTTATTCATATTACCGTTATTAGACATCTACTTAAAAGAACACATTCATCTACAAAGTAATCGCAGTTGCTTATGTGTTTTGTACAGTTACTTGCCACTCGCCTATGGTTAATTTGTTTTTATTCATTTTTTAAGCTATTTCTCCCAACTAAACCAAATTCTCATTTGTTGTTACATTTATCCTGATAAATTCATTGCCTGATCTGCAGTTTTATTAATTCAGTCATCATCAGCGTTTATGTATATCGAGCCATCTGCAAACCAAGATATTAACTTTACTTCTGGGTGAAAGTGTTGTTCTAACTCAAACCGCTATAGGTTCAGTGGCCAAGCCATGAACAACACCCAATGTGGAGGTTTTATGCTATTACCCAGTTGCTCAATTCGAATGATAATGATCTAGCCTTGAACCTGGGATAAATAACTTGGGAACTGCTTTCTAAAGCCAAAGACTTCATCTCCACTCTATTACTCCCCTATTTTTTTCAGGATACTAACAGTATATTTGCAGTCTATGTCAGAAACACGAGACTGACAAAATTAGGGCTTAACTTTGCGCAATTAATTCAACGAACCATGACAACTCTTTTGAGAGACACAATGGCAGAAAGTTCTCCAAAAGTAGATGTCCAGTAATTTAAACCACTTGCAAAATCCGAGTCTCACCTCAGTCATTCGTTCATAATCGACATAGGACCTACCCCTACTGAGTAACAGTCCGAGTTGCCAAAGCTCATATCAAAGTAGTTGGTATCAAAATGAAAGAGCAAAATGAGGAACTAAGTAGTCAAAGTGGAAGGAAATTGTGATAAGGGAACAGGAAGGTTTGAGACAATTATGGAATTCGGTATGACGATTAAGATGAAGATAATGTATGGGTGTGCCTAAGTCACTGAGATTGACTCAGCCATATCACTGAGTCTCCAACCACTGATCTTGGTTTTCACCCCGACTGCAGTCGGGAAGTTTGTATTTCCATGCATGACTCAGATTAACTGTGAAGGAATTAATGAACTGATACCATGTTCTAGTTTGTTCGACTCTAGCCTTTTTCCAGCTGAAATCTACTTCAACTAACATTGTGCGACGAGGTAGACAGTAACTAGATATGCGCAATGCATGTCCAAGCCGTCTAAGTCTACTAAAGTTCAAGACCCCGTTAGCCGCCTTTCTTCTTTCACTTAAAACTGTAACTTTTACCTTGCTTTTGGCTTTACAGCACATGGCCTTTGCTACATAGGGGACAGTGGTCAAAAGCTTAAGGCCTCCTCATGTCCTCTGCCTTTAACTACCATTTTTCAAACCGACAAAGTAGAACGGAGTGAACTGCAGGGCAGTACACTATGACCCTTAGAAGCAGTCGGGTATCATGGCGGTGCCACAAATGGTGGAAGTTGGCGAAGGCCAAGCTAACAGTTCGTATCCATGCTTCCATTTCGTCGGTCAGTGATCCCACACGGTTGATCTGACTTCCCAAATAGGTGAAGTGGTCAACGCGCTCAGCTACATCACCCCCATTCTGAAATGAAGTACTAATATAGACCAGTGCTGCAGCAACAGTTTGCATTTGGGTGGTAAGTGACACATGCCGAACATTCTCAGATTGCTACTCATGGTATTCAAGATACTCCATCTTCACTAACATGAATGTCACCTGCGTACTCTAGGTCCACTAGGAAATCTTTTTTGAAAAGACCAAGCTCTGTTGTATCAGAGGAGGATATAAAGACCTCCATTGGCATGCCAATGGAAAGACTAAATAAGAACAGAGAGAGTGAACATCCTAGATGGACGCCCCTTGACATACAAAACTCAACTGAGATGTCATCATAAGCTGAGACACACGAATGTTGGAATGCAGTGCATTTGACAAGGTTCACAGATAGTTACAAAATCAACGTAGAACAAGGTGGTGAAAATACTTAACCCCTTAGTAAGAGACACTGCCATAAGACTTCTCGATCGATGTAGTGGAATACCACCTTCAAGTCAAGAAGTATAACTAGTGTAGGACGTCAACAAGTATGTTTTCCAAAACCTGGTGAAGGATGAATATTTTGTCGATGCAGCCCCAAGTAGGTGTGAAACTTGACTAGTTCTCTCATGTTTTCTGTTCTCCGTCTTCACTCTGGCGTCTAGTGGTTTTGGAATCTGAAATCTTAAGTACTGTTTTCATCAAACTGATTCCCCTGTGGTTGTCGCAGGAGAACTCGTCTTTCTTGAGGACTGAGACAATCGATGTTTAAGGATAGTCAGATGGGATCACATCTGATTCCTATGGGCTAGCTAACGCTTCAGTGATCTTCAGCCATCATTCTTAAACGTCTCCGACGCATCCCTGTTTCCCCTTCCAAGTTACTGACACCCATCTCAGCTTAAGCAAGAGTTGGGTGTCTGTCTTGGTGTTCGGTCGAGGATCCGGTTGGATAGCGTGCGACCAGAGACTAGGCGGGGGGTAGTTGGACTGCTCTTCTAAGTGGTCCGCCCACTGCTTCAGTCGTCTACTGTGTAAGTAAATCACCAGGTAGACAGTCTACCTGCAATGGACAAGTAACAGAATTTTACAGCTAGATTTTCCTCAGCAGAAAATTGAATTGAATTCCTTTCCCCTCGAGTTCAGATGATGTGTACTCCTAAATGTTTAGGAGAAAAATCCAACTTCTAAGATCGTCCTTCGTCAGAGTGAGATTCATGGATAAAAGTCTGCGTCGAAATGCTACCCACCTATCAGCGTGGAAAAGATGCAACTTGGAATTCAATGGCAGTGCAGTGTATGAGGCAGTAAAACGCAAACTAATGAAGATTACTAGAACATCTTATCCAGGCAATCTGAAATCCCCTTATACTAGTTACTCAACTGTGAACACGTGTAGGAAAAAACAAATTTGCTGCCAGCCAGTTTCGGGTGTGGGTAAGAATTCACCTGTTCCTGTGGAGCTACGAATATGGACCGTACGCATAGACGGACTGTCCAATGTCGATACCAATGCCTTCCAGCATGACTCAGTAAAATCCAACGCAAATCGATCGATAGCTGCGTATTCGGGCACAGATACAGAAGGTTGGTTTGCAGTAGTCCACAAAAAACAGTGTAGCATTTTAAAGAATGTGAGGTAACCTATACTTGGCTGTGCTAAACCTAAGATGTAAAAAAGATTGTGTATCCAGAGATGAGTTTTCCGTTCACTGTCCTTATTCAGTTGATTTTCTAATTCTTAGATCCAACTAACCTTTTGTTTAATGTGATGATGTGGATGTTCTTAGCTCAATTACTAATTTCTCACTCCATTTCACACTGACAAGTGTTTACTGAAAAATTCTCCAGTCTTGATTTCACCTCTCGCTTAATCATGTTGTCGGATGTCTTCATTCCTCTTATGTAGCTTTCATTCCCATATTGTTGTCGTGACCAAGACTCATTGTTTGGCAAAACATCGTGATGTTCTTTACTATCTAATGTGCAAACTATGTATACTTAAACACGACTGGTGAGCTTCTGGCGATGATTTCACGGGAAACGAATTTATTCTTCCTTTTATGACTCAATGGGAATTTTCAAGTCATTTATTTCTTCACTGTCTTCAAACACCTTTCTCTCCTTCGATGTCATTCTTTTTCCGGGAACATTGCCTCTGCTTGCTGCTGTGACCTGTGGCAACTTGAACATATGCACTTCTGGGTTCTAAGTTAATCAGTCTGTCTGGTGTTTCCTAGTTCCAACCTTATCTGAACTTGTTAGT